GGATTTCAAGTTTGAGGTCAGCCTCAGCAATGTGGTACATTCCTGTCTCAAAATAAAAAATAAAAGGGGTAAAGATGTGGCTCAGTGCAGAGCATCCCTGGGGGTTCAATCTCCAGTACCAAAATAAATAAGTAAATAAAGCTAAAATGCAGAACTTTTGAAGAAGGTTCAAAGGCTGAGCTTATGATCTTATTTTTTAAAAATGAAAACTCTCTACGCATTCATGGAGCCATAAGAATATTTCAAATATCAATGTTCTTGTCCTTATCTCCCAAGTCAAATTTCCTCTAAAGGAAAAGGGCAGGTTCCAATTTTCATTTGAAAAGTAAAATTTGGTAGGTAGATCTAGGAAGTTCCAGGACACTAAATATATTTGAGAAGTTTTCTAAAAAACGAACAAAAGGCTGAAATTCTGTGCATTAGTAATATTAAGACAAATATACCAATCTTTTTCTGGAAAGCACTCTGATTCAATCATAGTACTAGTTGATAGCTCTTGGAAGGATATCGGACCCAGGCCAGAAAATCAGAGATCTTTTAAAGGATTTTGGAACTGAACATTGGAGACAGTGGAACTTGGTGTTTCTTACAAGCAGACTTGGGAATCTGGGATTTGCCAACCTACCCAATAGTCCTGTGTTTTAGTTCATGAAAATCATTCTCAGAGAGCTTACATAAAAAGAGCAGCAGAAATGAAATGGCATGTATTGGGGTTGTGCCGTCGAGCATTCTAGTCGTTGTAAACTTAAAAGAGTTGAGTTTGGTATTGAGGTTTGCAGTGGAGATTAGCAGTATCTAGTCCATGTTATATATGTATATACATGTATATTCAGCTCTATGTGATTTTTAAATGATTCATATTTATTTAACACTGAACACCTCATGAATATCATCATCCTCATGGGAGAGTAAGTAATTTGTCTAAGTTCATACAATAAAGAGTTGAGTTGGGATTCAAAATGGGGCTCTGGAAGCTGAGGTTGTAGCTCAGTGGTAGACACTTTCTTACCATGTGTGAGGCACTGGGTCAGTTTCTCAGCACCACATAAAAATAAACAAATAAAGGTATTGTGCCCATCTACAACTAAAAAAATAATACCCCCTCAACTTGTTCCTTATTATTTAAAAAAAAGGGGGGGGGGGCTCTGAACCACCTCGTTATTGTATGTAGGCTAGTAATTACCATTATTTAAGCAAATTTGAGGTTAATATCTTCTACTTTTGGCCAAATTATATATATTGCAGACATATTATTACATTAATAGAAGGAATCAAAGAAAGTCTTCAATCTATGTTCAAAGGTATTTTAAACAATTATTTTTTTTAAACAGAGAGAGAGAGAGAGAGAGAGAGAGAGAGAGAGAGAGAGAGAGAATTTTATTTATTTTTTAGTTTTTTTGGCGGACACATCTTTGTTTGTATGTGGTGCTGAGGATCGAACCCTTGAGCTACCGCTTGAGCCACATCTCCAGCCCCAAAGCTATTTTAGTTAAAAAAAAACTTATAAAATGAAATATTGGTTACTTTGTACCCCTTCATATCATTTTATATCCCAAACCAGTTTAAACACATATTGGGCAGGCAGTTACTAATGGACAAAATATTACTTCAATACAATCTTTTCCTCTTTTCTTTCTACAGTCAATGCCTTAGTTTATACAAATGTACTTGATCTTTAATGTTTTTACCTTCTTTACCTATAAAACAGGGCCAAATGTGCCTTCCCCAGAAAATTAAATGAAACTTTAGAAAACAGCATAATGCCTGGCAGATAGTGTACAATGTTAGGTATTTTTCTAGTAATTAAATACTTCTCACTGGGAGAAATGCCATGTATTCATTTTCATTATTTTTGCTTTTATGACCCCCCCCCAAAAAAAAGCTCTAATGGGAAAGTCTCCAAATTAATATTTCATATTTTGTACTCCTGGTGGCTGACTGTCTGCATAAATCTGTTTTCAACCTAATATTATTTTTGAAACACACACATGTGCACAATACGAAACATCCAGAAATTCAACAACTCACACTATCCCCTTCCATTATTATTCCACTAGTAGTTATATTGGTGACTGTCACATACCTGAGAAGTAGAGGATGGGTCAAACAACAAAGTATCAAGATTAGCACCTACAACTTCCTTTATTGTAGCAAATTGACTACTGGAGCTTTTGTTAAAATTGCTTCTGTTATTCACTTAATATAAAAGTACAAGTTCACTTATTCAACAAAGGACAAAGGAGTTTATACATTATAAGGTTACACATAAATAATATACTATTTATATTCTACTTCATATTGGATGATATTTTGCTTGATATCCAACTTTCCTGTTGATATAATAAAAATGCCTACTATAAGAATTACATAACATGTAGGACAGCCTTTCAGTTTTATCTATTAAGACACAGAAATTTAAAAATAAAACTAAACATTTGTCTTCATTAGCTTGTGGGAGCACATAGCCATGTGTGGGGACAGCTGGAAGCCTTGAGAGTATTGTGGTCAAGGTGAATTAAACCTGGATGTTCTTTGTGACAGATAGGAAGACCTAATAATGATCAGGTTTAAACTCATGATTTCCTCACATTTTCCTTTACCAACATGTATCTGCCTTAGTTAATGTTTAAGACATACTTTCACCAGCTGTATTGATGTCCTTCCTGAGAATCAATAATAACAGCAAGAATCTCTCATATCCAATATAATCTCAGACCCCTGACTATAAATACAAGTCAATGAAGAGAAGAAAATTTTAAGTATTTGTATAACTCATCTTTAGGATGGGACAGATGTTAGAGTCTGTAAACAAGTCAGGATGGTACCTGGCATTTTGCCAGGGGAATATTAGAGTCTGTAAACAAATCTGGATGGCACCTGGCAAAATGTCAGAGGGAGTGGTTTGTGAAGTAAGGCCAGCAAGCCATTAAGTGTGGAGATTTCTTATTGGTTGACTGCTGTATCTAGTTTATGTTAATTAGATAAGCTGTGTGGAATGTATAAATACCCCTCCTGTCCTACAATAAACGGCTCCCTCTCCTGCTGTATCAACATACACAAGTTGTTTGTCACCCCCCCCCCCTTTAGTCTGCCACAGTCCGGGCAAAATGCCAGGCGCCATCCTGACTTGTTTACAGACTCTGACAGACATTTTCTTTGTTTGGGCATCCCATGCCCTATTTTGTATTTTATTTAGAGACAGGGTCTTACTGAGTTTCTTGGCCTTGCTTTTGCTGAGGCTGGCTTTGAAAACTCTTCTCCTGCCTCAGCCTCCTGATCTCCTGGGATTATAGTCATTTTCAAACAAGAAATCCAGAAGACAGAACAATTACCCATAAGTGATATTAAAACACAAAACTAGGAGAAAATATTTCAACACAAGACTTCATTAAAAAAAGTCTTATGGGGCTGGAGCTATAGCTCAGTGGTAGAGCACTTGCCTAGCATGTGTGAGGCACTGGGTTCTATCCTCAGCACCACATAAAAATAAAAAAGATAAAGGTATTGTGTCCGTCTACAACTAAAAGACAAACAAAACCACCCAAACAGAAATTTAAGTAAATGATTAACAAAAATATGACATGCAAATTAAAACAAGATGCCATCAGATTGGCTAAAAATTAGTAAGATGTTAAATATTTGTAATACCAGTGAGAATATGGAATGGTAGCTATTGGTAGACAAGTAAATCAGTGCCTTGACTTCATTAATGACTTGTGAATCCATCTATATCTATTTGTTACTATACTGAAGAATGTTCACATTCATCTTTTTTTTTTTTAATATTTATTTTTTAGTTCTCGGCGGACACAACATCTTTGTTGGTATGTGGTGCTGAGGATCGAACCCGGGCCGCACGCATGCCAGGCGAGCGCGCTACCGCTTGAGCCACATCCCCAGCCCCACATTCATCTTAATAGTAAAAAACTACAAACTAAGTACCTAACAACTAGTTAAGTTGGGGAATCAAGTTAGAGAATCTTCATATAAAGCCTACTTCTATACTTTTAGGAAAAAAAAACAGGTAAAATATATCTTGATTACTAAGTACAAAGCACTGTTCTAAATGTCTCACATACATATATTCATCCTTATACCAGCTCAAGAATGTTTCATACAAGAGAAACCTAAAGTATGGAGTGGTGAAATAAAAGATGGAAGACAGCAGATTCTAATCTAAATTCTTGACTGTAGGAGCCAGCAGCTATGATAGAATAGCGTAGAGAGGCTTGAATGTAAGCTGCTTAAAAAAAAAAATTAGATGCATAAATGCATAAAATAGTACAAACAGCAAATAAATGTACAACTGAGCTATTTGGGGGTTGGGGAGATCAATGAAGCAGCTTTATTTCTGTAACATTTGACTTGTTACAATAAAGTGCTAAAGTTTTTTTCCCCTTGCTTTCAGCTAAAAATCTTAGGACTCAGGAATTCAAGAACTTGAATGGTTTGGCTCAATCTTTTCACAAAACAGCTAGCTACAGTAAACCAGATGAAAAGAGAGGGGGACAATTGAAAGGTGCTATATTGCTTGCTTACATTGAAGATCCAAGGACCCACTGATAACTTGTCTTTAGACCACTGGGACTGACTGTAGACTTCCTATCCCCAGAAATGTTGAGATGATAGTGAACAGCATGGACATAATTTCCCTTTCATGGATACTAGAATTTTGTAGATATTCTGTTGGAAAACACATATCTACAAAATTCTATTTTTTAAATAAAATACTTAAAGTTTGTAAAGGCAATTATGAAAGAATAATATTCTAAGTATTATTTACTGAAGCAAATTCCTCTTAGGGATCACTCGAAACTAATTTTTATCTCCCTACTAGAAACATTTTTGTAGAAAGCTTACAAATTATAAACTCGAAAGGATCTAAAATATATACTCTAAAGCCTCAGAGGTATCACTCAATTTATAAAGGTAAGTTAGTAACTGCATGGGAGTTTCTACTCCAATTATAAAGGAAATCAGGTAAAGAAAGTCTCATCACATAAAGGAATATAAAACTATTTATTGACCATTGTTCACCAGTATTTACAATAAAGTAAACAATATACAGTTGGGTAACATTCTGATTACTACAAAGTTATTTTCTTGGCTTGTGTTGAACCAGTAATCCAAATACTGAAAAGACTGAGCCTACATGTTAAGGATGAACTGGGGTGAAGAAAACACATGCAGGTCAATAGTTTAGACTGTAAAAATTCCCTCACCAATTTATGTGAGCAGGCTATAAATTGCCAACATCTTTAGCCATCTGATCAGGTATCCATGAGCCAAATCTTAAAAGACATTCCATGAATTATTACCTTTTAGTATGCAGATTTCAACTTTTAAAAAAAGGAATGGCTAACTAGAACTCTCAATATACCCACTTCTTTCTTCAATAATTTTAAGACAAACTAGGATTTGTCTAGTTTATTTGCCTGGGTGCAGAAGTGGCATAGTGATAGTATTTTTCCTTTCAGGAATTTTGCAAATAAAACTGTTGCATTTATGTGACGACAGATGTAAATTTAATGTGCTTTTAATTATCTAATTTAAAGTGTCCAATTAACTACAGAATCACTTATTTAATCTGAAAGGTTAAGTTCAGGGAAAATTTCAATTTAACTTGAAGTGACATTTCTTAGGTTGCAGAGGATGATGGCATCTCAGGAACTTGGGTTTACTACCCATTGTTTTTGTGTTGGTGAATGTTTAAAAAACCAAAACCATTATGTAAGTATTTTATGTACACATGCACACACACACACACACACAAATAAACAAAACCCCCAGAATGGTCCTTAGGCATATGAGTTAAAAACAAGTTCTGAGTAATGACTACAGAAATTTCCCCAACTTTCAGAAAAGCAGAGGAAATATACCATCATAGCAAATGCTCTTTTCTGATAAAGGAAGCAACTACAGAAAGCTTTTATTTGTTCAAAGTAACCAGTGCTACTGATGCAAAACAAAAAAATAAAACCCAACAACTCCCCAATACTACTTTCAAAACCAACATATCAAACTTGATTTTCATTAGAATGTAGTTATTTTTTCACACTAGTAAATCAAAAACCAAGACCCAGATTTTATATATATATATAAATATATATAAAAAACAATGCAAATAGTTATTGAGCTTCATCTTCTGGACAAGAATGCCAAGTTAGTCTCTCTTCATAAAAAGCAATTACAATTTGAGGACACTTCATATTTGCTTCTTTTGCCAGCACCAAGTCTGCCTCATCTGAATCTTTCCTGTTATAAGGAAAAAAAATTCA